CGCTGCTTCCTCCGCCGACCTCTTCCCTCGTTTAACCCGGGGATAGCGCGGGGATGACGGTATTAAGGGCAGCTCTATTATTCGACCACCCAACCACTCGACTCTTCGCTTCGAGAATTCTCGAATTCTTTTTTTTTCTTTGCCCCCTCATCCTCCTTCTTCTCCACTTCGGCTCGTTTCTTTCCTCCGCGACCTCTCGTCTCGCTCTTCGCACGTCTACCCCAGGTACTTTTCTGTTACGGTCCCTCCGCTCCGGATCCTTCTCCCCTTCCTGCTACCGAGGTCCTGTACCCTCGTTCCGTACCAGCCACCTTCTATCGAGGTCCTCTGTAAACAAACGCACGAGAGCGAAAGAAGAATCGAAGGCTTTCCATGTCCCCTCTTCCCCCTGCCGTCTATCTACTATACTACTACTACTTCTTCTTCTTCTTCTTCTTCTTCTTTCACTTCCTAGTCTCGTCTCCCGCTGCTGACTTTCGCAAAGTTAAGCGAGTGGCTACGATGGGAAAAGCGGCGTGTCCGCTCTCGAACGGGAATGGGATTATCCGACCATACGAGCGCTCGGCTATTGCATCGCATACGAAATCCGTCGCGTTCGCCGATTGCAAATATACGCAGCGATATCATTTGCACATCGACGTTTAATTTTCGCTGCGAGGCGTAAACTCTCGTAAAATTCCCATGCAAATTTAATTACACGGTACAATTTGTAAAACTCCAATTTTACAGCTTTTAACGTGAAGCAGCTGCAATGCATAACATGGAAAATGCGTGAGTACATTCATTGTGATGCGAAAATCGATTTCTCCGAAATATCTTATTACGCTTGAATGAAAAGAAGAAAAAGCGTACGAAGATTTTAACAGACCGAGAAGAATTAGATACTACGTGGCTTCTGGCGTTAAAGCGTGTCCGGGATGATACAAAGTACCCGGCAGTGCATTCAGTGCCTAGTGTGTATTTGGTCTAAGGCGACGACGCGCTAGTAAGTATTATCCCCTAACTCTTACAGGGATGACCGCTTTTATGTTTCGTAGCGAGGACGCAGTGGAAATGTATTAAAGCGATTATGTCGCGTGCGCTGAATATACATGGAGGTATACGAGAGGCAACGTACGGAGGGTGAGCACGCTCGTCGACAACAAAAATCGTCCGTCGCTGTGACGCTTCATCGTCGAGAATAACGGTAGGTCAAAGTAAGGTGTAGTTGTCGCTGCGAGAGAAAGTAATAAAATATGATGGGCAATACATTTATCTCTTTACTATCTTACTTCAAGAATATATAGAAACTCCCTGAGAATGTCAAAGCTCGAATATGTAGAAATCAAGGGGGTGAGATGTGATAATCATCGCGATCACGATAACGTTGTGATGTAAAGAAAGTTGCACGCGTGGTTATCGATAATGATGGGTGTCGATAAATGACGAGGAAACTGACTTCGGAACTGGCTTAAAACTAACATCGAACTCTCTGGCAAGTACGTCTCTTCGGTGCAATAGTAATCTCGGCTTCGGACTTTAGAACTCAGAATCCGTTTCACAGACAGTCCGCTTCAGAACCCACGCCTTGCTGAATGCGCTCCTTAATGCGCCCTTAATGCGGGACTTGTACGCGCGTCGCGGAAATTGACGCGTTTCGAGACTGCGACCCGGAGGTGATATTCCTCTTGTTTTCCCTCTCTCTTTTTTTCTCTCGTCGTACGGCGACGAGCGACGAAAATGTATTAAAGCGTTTTTCCAGCGCGGAAAGGCGCGAGAGGATGGAAGGAAAGGGGTCATCGGGGAGTGGAAGGAAAAGAGACGAAGACAGAGACAAGAGCGAAGAAACGGAAGAAAAGGGTAGCAGTCGTTGACGGAGAATAGGGATGGTGGGGGATTTAGCTCCGGGAAAAATGGTCGTAGGGCGGAGGAGAAAATAAAGGGGAAACGGTTCGTATGAAAATGTAATTAGGGGAAGCGTGGAAAAGCTCAGCTCATTGCGGCCTTCAACCTTTTCTCACTTCTTCCACTCTTTCTCTCTCTCTCTCTCTCTCTCTCTCTCTCTCTCTCTCTTCTTCTCTCCTTCGCACGCATTTCCGCCTTTTATTTCCTTCTACTTCTCTTCCACCTTCGCGCGATTCCCTGTTGCCACCAATTATGATTCCTTAATCGCGGCTTCATTAATCGCGATTCATTCATCCGCGCCGATGGCAAAATTTATCACCAGTGTTTTATATACTCGCAATACAACTAACGCAATCACATTTATTTCCCCCGTCAGCGCAACCTTGCGTTAGTTTTTGTCGAATACAGCTCTTAAATCTATCACGGTTTTTTAACAATTACACACAGAAAAATATCATTTCGTTGTTGAGAAAAGTGACTACTTAATTAATTTTTTCCCTATTAAGTAACAAAAATATTTTCTTGATAATAATCTTAAAATGTATTTATTACAAATTTTAGAAAAACTCATTATTATATATTCAAAACAAGAATTTATTTTCTTTTGAAAAATATTTTAAAATTGATCGGAGAAACGACTTTATATAATAAGTAAATTTATTTTAATTTAATAATCTTGATTAAAGTATTAAACTTATTAGGATTCAAAATATATTTTGAATAAATTTAATGCTTTTAATAAACTTATGACAGATATGAATTATATGAATTCTTAAAATACTTGGAAGAAGTAATTATTACTTGCGTATAGTATGTATTTTTCTGTACGTATCACTTCTTAATGTTTAGAATCGGCACAAACTATTTTTATAATTAATCTTATTTTATTAAATTTGATCTTAAATTATACTTCTTGACAAATCTGAACCCTGAGAGTCTACACCTCTCTCGTTTACTATTTTTTAATTCCTAGCTGTTTTTAACACTATTTTCAAATTAACTCATTTACCATAGTGGAAACCATGTCTACAATTGGTGCCAAGCAGCTCTTATTTTACATCTCATGCAGGGAGTATTTCGTAGTCCACAACAAGAT